CAACAATAGAGCTCATATAATATGCACAACTAATGCAACAATTAACTAAATGTCTATTAAAATGATTAGGATGAATACTTGAGAAATACAAAACTAATATTATGGTCTCACTGTTTAAAAAAGACGAAAAAAATTACGCCAACAATTATAGAGAAATTAAACCTGCAAAGATCAGCTTTCAGGTTACTCAGATTTCACTGTATATATAATGAAATAGCTTACCTCTTCTCCCTCCTCGCCTTCTTCATCGTTATCCTGATTAATAACGTATTCATCAGCATCTCCACTTGCTGCAATTGATGGCACTACTGTCATGACGGGTTGTGTTTGACCCTTGGCTTGATAATAGTAGTGCCCAGCTTGGTCAACAAAATAAGTTCCTTCTTCCTGTTCATTTTCAACTTCTTGTTCTTCACTCCCTAAATAAATATTGATATTATAAACAATATACTAACGAAATACATTAAGTAACATAGAAATCTTATCACCCGATATATATTATTTAATTAAAAAAAAAAACTATACAGTAGTACGTTCAGTGGTGGTATTGTTTGTGAAAAGACTAGATAAGTAGACATTTAACTGTTTAGCAAGTCTATTTTGAAACTTCACTGGGATAAGAAATATGTTCTTCACAGTGTATGCTACAACTGTGAAGAAATGATTGGAGAGTGGATTAAAGGACCATTCGGAGTCCCCATGATCGGACGAGAAGCTACCGATCACGTAATTTGATTACGGTTATTAGCCTCCAGATTACAGAAAAAAAAATCTACCGGACTGCTCTGCGAAAATTTCATCTTTCATTTCCGAAAAATATATGAAGGTTTTTTTACTTGTTTAAGAAAAATAAGAAGTTTGTTTGCTGACACGATGTTTCAGGTGTTTTGCGAAAATTTAATGTCGCTTCATACATCGTACAACCCAGAAGAACAATGATTATTTTTGGATCAGTCAGCGAAGTCTGAAATGTGTGTTATTGCGTATGAGAGACGTATAATGACATAAAAACAATTGAATTGTTTTTTTTTAACTTAATTAGATGGTTTTGGAAAAGACCAATTAGCCATTAATTGAATCGTAATAATTAGATCATTTGTGTTGATTTTAAAATAGCTAACCTTCTTCTTGCCTTCTTAAGGCAACATTATATTATAGCTTATTTGGTCAAACGGGTAGGTATATTTTGACCCAAATATCCAAACCCTAATCTATGTTCCAATAGTTATCTCACCCTATATATGTGTGTTGTTTCTCAATCTTTCTCTTCAATAACCATACTTTATTGCTGTTTATAATGGCCCTGATGCAAATAATCCAGCAAATTGAATGTATACACATCTATTTTTGAACTAATCAAAGAATAGGAAAGGAAAGTATTTTTCAAGTGTGTAAAAATGTATTTCCTAGCTGAGTGCTTTCGGCTTACAAAGCCATCCTCAGATTTTTGGTGGCCAAGTTTAGATACAGACATTGAATCTTATGTAAATAATTGTAAAATTTGTTTAGGGTTTAGAGCAGAACCAAGTAAAGCTAAGTTAATATCATGTGAAAAGGGAACATGTATGTTTGAGAGGGTGCATGCTGATTTTCTGGGTCCCATAAGAAATAAAATTATTTTGATAATCATTGATACTTTTACAAAATGGCCAGAAGCAGTTATTATGAATAATTTGACCGCTGGGGAGACTATTGAAAAATTTAGAGATTGTTTTGCTCGGTTTGGTTTACCTAAAGTAGTTGTTACAGATAATGGCTCTCAATTTTCATCAGGTGAATTTTCACAGTTTTTACATAATAATGGTATTAAACACTCTACATCACCACCATATCATCCAGCAACAAATGGGTTTGCAGAGAATTTTGTTAAGACATTTAAAAACGCTGCTTTGAAAAGATTGAAGGATGAATACAACTGTAATATTTCTTTACAAACTAAAATCAGTAAGTTATTGTTCCATTATAGAAATTCAGTACACTGTACTACAGGTGTATCACCCTCCAGTCTTGTATTTAAACATAAAGTTAAAACCCGATTAGATTTGTTATGGACATGTAGTGAGAATCAGAGTTCTAAATTAATTGATAATAAATTAAATAGTAATAGACGAATTGAAACTTTTCAAGTGGGGAATAAAGTCCTTTGTAGAGATTATCGTTATCCTAATCGTAAAACATGGACAAAAGCAATAAATGATGAACTTTTAGGTGACAGGTTATATTTGTGTAAGTTAACACAGGAAGGTTTAATTTGGAAAAGACATTTGGACCAGATTTTGCGAGATAAAGGATCTGATTCTAACTACGATAGTTTTAATGAAACCATTGTAACTGATATAACTAGTAATAATAATAATACAATTAGTACCAGTGTTGGACCCCTCTCAGCTGTAAGAGAAGGGGAAGTGTTAAAACAAAGTGATATGGAAGCGAGTCATTTTGAAGAGTCTGGTAATGAAGTAGCAAGTGAAGCAGTGGTTAGTGAGGTTAATAAAACCCAAGACAAAAGAAAGTGTAACAGCAGTTCCAGGTAGGCCAAAAAGAAATGTAAACCACCTCTGTGCGTTTAAAATTATAGTGGGGAGGTATTGTAATATATTAAGTGGGGAGGAGATATTATAATAGAGAAAAGAAGAAGAAAGTCATAACACATGTCATGTCAATTATCTATGTAAAAAGGTGTATATATATATATATATATATATATATATATATATATATATATATATATATATACAGATTGAATGATATAAATTCGGAACATACGAAATATTATGTATTTCGGCTCAATTCTGCTGTAGGTGGTTGGCCAACAAAAGGTTGTCAAATAATTATATTATAAAAATCCAATACTTCAGCGGGCTGCTGGATTCTGAACTAATTCAAGAACTCATTCATAGGTGGTCAAACCACATATCGCTTCCTAAAGCCGGCCACTCACGGTACAGCGGTGTCGTTCGACATAATCGGACAGAGGCGTTGTTCAATTTGTTGGTATATCTGGTGCGCCCACACACCATACTGCGCCGCAGTATTTGTTCGGTTCTCGACCATGTCAAATCAAACAATCATTTTAGCGTCTCTTACTTCGTGTATAAATTCTTTGTGTATAGATTCTGGTGCAAAGAATCCAAGATTTTGGTGCAAAATAAATCTCGTCTGCCCCTGCACCCGATTTACTGGACTGCACTGCTAATTTTAATTCTCTTTTATAGGATGTTCTAAAATTGTTAATTTTTTTTCTTACATACTCTTCATTCGCATCTTTGTTTACTTCTTGGAACTTTAAAACTAGAATGTCCATTGCCTGTTTTCGGGCGTTTCTATCGTGATACGTTTTACCTTTTATTCGCTATAGCATTCTTGTTTTTTATATAATTTAAAAAACTCTCTTAAACAATTCTCGCTAAATCAAGCCATTTCGATTTTCGATAATATGATCAAAGCAAGTGTTTAGTTAAAATCGAAGTTAAACAACGCCGCTGTATCGTGAGTGGCCGCCTTTAGGCAAGCCCCTCTTTCGTTTATCGGAGATGGAGATTTTGAGCGGTGTTGCCAATATCATTCTACTAGATGTTTCTAAAATAACTACAAACTTCTGAAATAACTACAAACCATTAAGTTTATTTTTGTTATTAGTCTGTTGTAGTAGATTGGTAAATACAATGAAAAATATAGGCAAATATCCGATTTATTTAAAGATACGAAGAAGATATAACTCTCAAAAAGATCCGCAAATCGGATTATTACACGGCGATTGGCAACATTGACTTTGAGCTGCGCTCTAGACTATAGTGCGTCCTAAAAAGAGACGGATAGTTGAACGATATTTTATACAATGTCTAACACCGGGTATGGATTTATTTTTGTCCAAGTTTTATGTTGGTCCACTATTTCAAATGCAGTTCAAACAGACATATATTAAATTGTATGATCCGTTTTAAATTCGTTCAATCTGTATATATATATATATAATATATATATATATATATATATATATATATATATATATATATCACATTTCGACTGTTAGTTAAAAATATAAGTTATATAAAAGCATGTTTAATCATTTATATTCTTCCTCCACATCACACTAGTAAGAAAACCACGATTTTTGATATGTATAATTAAGGTCATCAACAAGTTTTTTATGACTTGACAAAGTGCCTAATAAGTATTCGCTCCGTGCGTGACTGACGCGACACCTACCGCCTTCATCTGACAATTTTGGAGTCCCAATTTTCAGGTTAAACATATGACATATGTTTGACATTGTTAAATACATGCGAAATTGACAATTATTAATAAATTAGTTTTTTAACTATATTTTTTCAGTTTATGTTCAAAATAAATGTACATAGTATTAAAAACTTAGTTTCTCAAAATTCATCATAATATATCTTTTCAACTCCAAACGGAAAAGAAAGGGAAAAATCTAGTACTGGCAAATCAAGTTTTTCACGCAAAAGAGCATATAATTAAAAGCAATAATGGTAAAAGTTATGATATAAAAGCTAAAGTCATCTGCAGTTAGCTTGAAGCCTTATCAAATATCATTCAAGGTAAATTATTTAAATTTTTCCTATTTCAATTGCATAAAAATGAAATTATGTGATATTTACTTTTTCATATTAATAGCACGAATTCATCTTTTTCTTTTCTCTAATTTATATGTAATCTTTGGGAACCTATAAAAACTACACTCACTGTTTTTGCTATTATTAGCACAATTAAATACGCAACATGTATTTGGATACATTTTTGATAAAATTTATGCGTAAAAATATTTTGTCCAATATTCCAATTTTGTCATATTTCGCCGATACGCACGCTGGCATCGTTTCAATGTACCCCTACCATGGTCACGCACGGAGCGAATAAGGGATTGTTAGGCAAGAGAAAATACCACGACTTTAGTAAAGATGAATTTAGAAGAAGCCTTAACAAATATTCGTAATGATAGATGGACATTGGCGGAGGCTTCAACTAATAATATGAAAACTTATGGAGGCCAGACTTCATTGACAAAGGAGGAGGAAGAGGTTTTAAAAGATGGTGTTTTATTTGCTGCAGAGTGGGGATGTCCCTAAGATAAAGATAATATTAATGGTCTCGTTCGAAATTATCTAAACAAACAAGGATGAAGATTAGGATCTTTCACCGACAACAGACCGGGTAATAGTTGGTACTATGCATTTATTACTCGTCATAGTGAGTTTTCCATTCGCCTAACAGAAAATATAAAGCGAAGTCGTAATGCGATTTCTATTGAAGTTTTAAGAGAATATTTTGATAAGTTGGCTGTTACTTTAAAAGACATTCCTGATAAAAATATCGTAAATTAAGATGAATCATGTTTCACCGATGATCCTGGACAAACAAAAGTTGTTGTTCGACGTCAGCTAAACATGCCGAAAAAATTATAGACCACAAAAAATCTTCAATGAGTGTGATGTTTTCCGTTAGTGGATCAGGAGTTATGTTGTCACCTTATATTGTTTATAAGACTGGTTTAAATTTATTGTACTCCCTTATTTTAAAAAACTTGAAGAATCGAAGGTGTTAAACGGTGACAATTTAGCCAGCCATTTTCCATCATTGTCATACAAGAGTGCCAAAACAATAATATTAGCTTTGTTCTTTTACCGCCCAACAGCACGCATCTAACGCAACCGCTAAATTTTTGCTATTTTAGACCACTGAAGGGTAAATGGAGGTCTGTTTTGACTAAATGGAAGCAAATACAATCTGGCCCTATAAGGAAAGATCAATTCCCAGGTCTACTGAAAGCAACATTAGTAGATCTAATAAACGCTGACAACATAAAAGCTGGGTTCAAAGCGACAGTACTTATTCCTCACGACCGAGAAGCTGTTTTAAAACGAATCCCTTCTCAAGATGGGCCTGTTGAAGAAATTGCCAACGTGTTGAAGGATATATTTGAAACAACAAAATAATTGCCACGCAAGTCTAATAAATACGAACTTTCTTCTGAAAGTTAAATAGATGATATAGAACTTGAAGACGAGACCGACGAAGAAGAGTTCAGTGATACTGAGCCCGAGGATAATAATTTACAAATGTGAAATCAAGAGCAAAATAAAGACAGGCAAAATAAAGAACCTGTGGAGCCACATTCAATGTGGAGAGTTTATTCCCGTGAACTTTAAAATAGAGAAACGGATTAAATATGTTGGAAAAATCTACCAAGTCATAGATGAAGAGCACCTTCAAGTAAAATTCTTACGAAAAAATGTGGGTAAAAAAGAAACATTTTTTTTTTCATGTCCTGACATAATAGACGAATCGATGATGAACAAAAATAAAGCCTTTCGTCTTCCAGCTCCACACCTTCTTCACCGAGAACGTTTCAATTTTTTGACAGATTTGGTTGAAGTTGATTATGTTTTATAAACAAATAGGTTAAATAACGCATTAATAAAAATATTGTTCACTAAGATTTAAGTCTAATACAATGTAAACTTTTTGAGAATATTTTAATTTGTTGTTTTTATATTTTGTCAGAATGAACGTTTTGAAGTGGTATCAAAAATTTATTTCACCTTGTATAATAGTAACATATTTTTTAAAAGTTAAATTTGATGTCAAGTCGCCTATAGAATAGCTTTATTTGTCATTTACACTGATTTTTGGTTACATTTTTCAGTTATTCAACATGCAGGGTGTCATGAGAAACACGGTTTTTATTTTTTTTTCTACTTTTTTTGTTTTTTCAAAACAATTTTGTATAGGTTCTATTCTTTGCCAAAAGTGTCATAACACCATATTTTTTGTTTTGTGATAGACTAATAACTATGGCAGGCATTACTAAATTAATGTCCAAATTGTAGTCAAGTCACCCAACTCCACGGTACTACAATATTCAGTGTTTTTACGAAAATATCACATGTTGTAAAGTAATAATAATATTTCTACATATATTCAGTTACTTCGATACTGAAGAATAGTGAACCTACCTGAACTAGGCTGAACAGTTGAATCTCCTACGATCTCTTTTTGAAACCCTTCTAAATAGGACTGAATTTCTGTGACGTTTTCGCTTGTCTCCTCCAATTTTATTGTTGGAGGTTCCGAAAATGTTGCGCTCATGTTGACTCAACTATTATGCATGCTGTAAAAATAATGAAATATTCATTAACAATATTGATTAGCTATACTGAATGACAAAAAAATTAATTATTAACTAAATAAACAATGCTATTAACCCTAGAATGGTAAACTGGTGTCGCCGTCACCACGCAGTTTCGATTAGATGCAGTCAGCATGTTCCTGGAGAGAGAGGAGGCTTAGAATCTCAGTACCTTTACCTCTTTTAGTTTCAAATCAATTGTAACCATGACTGTTTATCGAACAATAATAGCTATTGTAAAATATTTATCCGTGTCACATACGACACCACAGTACAATTCCCGTTATAATTTTGAATATAGAAGTAAATAGTTTCAATAAGCAGAGCGTTGACTCAGGCTGAGTTAGAAGAAATTGTGCGTGCTTATGAGGCTGGTGAGAGTGATGAAGATGTCCCTTTAAATAATACAAAATCTGGATGTTTGAGTCAGGATGAAGACAAATAACTTAGTGAAAGTGAACATTCTGATACCATTTTAGCAGAACCAGAGGTTAGCGAAGAGGAGAGTGAAGATTCGCAGCAAGATAGCGATCAAAAAATAAAAGTAGTATATGGAAAAAATGGTTTTAAGTGGTATAAAACTCCGTTTTTCTCAAAAAACACTCGCACAGTTCAAACAAACATAGTGCTTCGCCTACCAGGTCCAAAGGCTCACGCTTCAAATACATCAGAAGAGATTCTGGCTTGGAAACTATTTTTCAGCGACTCAATGATAAACTATATTACTCAATACACAAACCAAGAAATCTCTAAACAATCTACTAAATTTAGTCAATCTTCAAGTTTTATATATGAGTGGTGTTCTAAAAACTGAGTACCTCCGATTTATGGTCAAAACAACTTGGAATATCAATTTTCAGAGCAACAATGTCACAAAAACGCTTTGAATTTTTGATTAATTGTCTTCGTTTTGATGACAAAATAAGTAGAGAGGAAAGGAAACATGATGATAAATTTGCACCTATAAGATTTCTTTGGAATGAGTTTATTGAAAATTGTGAATCTAATTACACTCCTGGCGCATATGTGACAATTGATGAATAGTTGCTCAGTTTTCGGGGCAGATGTCTTTTTAAAGTTTATTTTCCAAATAAACCAGATAAATATGGAATTAAAATCGTTATGTTGTGTGACTCTAAGACTTTTTATATGTATTCTGCAATATCATATGTGGGAAAAGAGTGACGAGATGCATCAGAAACTTTGCCCACTCAATACGTTCTTCATCTATGCAAAAACATCTATAGCACCAATAGAAATGTCACCATGGATAATTAGTTTTCGTCCTCAGATCTTGCAGAAAAGGTTTTACAAAAAAAAGTTGACAATGGTTGGAACCTTAAGAAAAACAAGTCTGACATTCCGCCAGAATTTCTTAGAAACAAAAAAAATTGTTCCAAGTTCTGACTTTGCTTTTGACGAGAATAAGAGGTTAGTATCATTTTCTCCAAAACCAAAAAAAATTGTTCTGTTGCTGTCAACATTTCATACTTATGGTGTAATTGATGAAGACACTAGCAAGCCCGAGATTGTCTTGTTTTATAACTCTACAAAAGGAGTAGTAGACACTTATGATCAGTTGTGTCATTTTAAATCCGTGTCTAGAAAAACTCGTCGGTGGCCTCTTAGAGTTTTTTATGCCATGCTTGATGGTGCAGGCATTAATGATTATGTTATTTATAGCGCAAATAAAACCAAATCAGTTTCAAATTTAAAAATTACTCCCAGGACAGATTTTCTTAGGCATTTAGCACTACAGTTGGTGACTCCGCAACTAAAGAAGAGATTAGAAATACCGACTTTGTCCAGATTTTTGCGTTCCATGATTTTGGATGTTCTTGGTCAAGAGGACCAGCCAGTACTCAGAAATCAAGAAACTCAACCTCCAACTCACAAAAGATGTCAAGTTTGCCCTCGATCTGCCAACAGAAAAGGTAGAGACCTGTGCGTCCGCTGTAAAGCTTGCCTGTGTGCCGAACACAGAAGACCAATCTGTCCAACTTGTACCGAAGAAATTTGATTTTTTTTTTTGTTATAAACATGTACTTTTCTACTTCTTTAGAGTCTTTTTTATAACCTTGAACAATAAAAAATGTAAAACATATGTATGTTTTTGATTTCTTAGTATAAATTAAAAAAACTCTCTGGTGTCGTATATGACACCACAGTACCACTAATTACCTAAAAATATCGATACCATTATTTTGTTAAAAATTTTCGAAGCAACACCATTTTTCATTTAAATTTATTATTTTTTAACATAACAATTTAATATATCGAATCAACTATCTTCATTTGATGACTTTATAACAAATTCTTAACATGGAAAATTCCTTTTTTTTCAATTTCCTAATTTTTCTTACTAAGCTGATTTCAAAAATGTATCTCAGGTTGCTTCAAATTGATAATGAGTTTTCAAAAATACAAAAGTTGTTTCATATGATATAAATTTATATGTTGTTGTTTTCTTACAAAATAGTAATAAAAAAATTTAATCGAATTGCGTATTACAATTGAATCGATCATTATGAAAAGGGGTCATCTCCACTTTTTTGACATTTAAACTTTCTGTCGAATTTATATTTAACACACCTAGACGCGTCTATTCCATATAAAAACGGGTCAACTTTCAATATTATTACCGTAAATACAGCATACCCCACAACCAGTTCAGTTTAAAAACGAGTCATCTCCTAGAGATAACCCATTTTCAAAATGAGCGGCGATTTGTATCCACCCACAGTATAATAGTTTATTACGTCCGAACTAACCACAGTATAATGGTATATTAAATTGACGATGCAATCTATTTAGTAGTTGTATAGACCTGTTTGGAAACAGACGCTGTGCGTAATACAATGTCGTGTAGTGATAGTAGTGCAAGTAAATATCCTCCTTTAAAACGAAAAAAAGTGTGAGGAATCAAAATAGTTATAAATATATTAAAAATGCAAAAGTTCACGGAAAAGAACATCTAAATCATGTGGGCAAACGTATAGCTTCACGAAAAACTGGAGAACCAGAATCTTCTGGCTCTAGTAATGACCAAGAAGTTCAAAAAATTACTATTTAATTTCCACAGCGGAGCCACTCATTTAATGATTGTGATATTTCGGTACCGTTAAGAAAAGAAAAACACGTCGCCACGACAGGATTTTTTTGTAGAGAAACATGAAGATTAAATCGTCTCTTCCTCTAGCCATAATAAATTTGATATTAGAGATATTACTCATATAGATGTAGCTGCTTTTAAAAAATGGTGGCCAGATTTTTTTAAAAACGAAAGTTTTGTCTACATGACGCTTTGGTAAAGAAGTTCCAAAAAACGAAAAGGTTAGTTTCAGTGTTAACTCTTATCATGGATTTAGCTTTTCCTCAGATGATTTGGGTGTGGTATTAGCTAAACCACAAATATTGATGGCATTCTTGAAGAACGTTTTCAACTTTTAAAACCTCAACAAAAGGGCAGTCCACTTATGTTTGTACCTGATTCTCAAAATCTTCCTGACTATCAGGGGAAAATTCCAATAAACATAAAAAAATTGAAGATATTAAGAAGCTTCTACAATACATTCTAGATAATCATAAGCCATTCTACAACATGGTCTGTGAATGGCCTACTATCAGTGCCGAAGAAGCAGAACAAGGAGACAATTAAACTATCCTTATTTAAGCATTTTAAATGTTTTTGTTTTTTCTTCTAAATTTAGTGTGTCAGTTTAATGTTTCTAATAAACAATATTCATATGATAATGACTATTTTTACTTTTATTACCTGTTCATTTTTAAAACGGGTCATCTCTTTTACAAAAAATTTCGGTTTCTAGGTCTTTTAAAATTAAAAAATATATTTTTATAATATTCATCGATTTGTATGGTAAATCATAAAACCAAAAAATACATAAAAACACTTAATTTCCTAATAGTAATAAAGATCCGAAGTTTTTTACCACTCCTGTAATATTTAAAAAAGTGGAGGTGACCCCTTTTCAAAATGACCGATTCAATTACAGTGACGCACCACTGAAAACGAACAAAAGAAAATTTACAATAAATTTTGAAATTTTTCTCCACTAACCAGTACACAATGAATCCACCGGTCAATACATTCTTCTCTAACATATTGTAGTGTAACGACGGTAATGTTCTGTATTTCTTGTTGATAAATTATATATAATTTATAGATGTTGGTAATTTAGACGGTACAAGCAAATAGTTTCAGAACCATATGTTGATAAATTAGACTAGATATATTTCACGAAAACGTAAAATTTAAAAGGTTAACAACACAGAATTGTATTTTAATATGAAGACAGTTTTTAACGTCAAATACAAAAAATACTTTCAAAACAGTATAGTCCATTCACTCAGGTCGGGAATACAGGGTTTTTAACAGTCTATAATTCAGGAAGTAATGAATATTTTTATTTAAACATTGTAAACATAAAATCTGTGACGTCATCGCGGGCGCTGCCACGTCATCACAATGGAAAAAATTAAATGAATCAGGGAGGTGAAAGTTAGGTCAGATGAAAGGGTTTTTTTACCTCAAATTCAACGGTGTGCCACAATAACGGTATTAATTTCAATAGGTACGCTAAATTTTCATTTTAATAGGAAAGGCAGTTAAGATTTGATTTCACGTACAGTGCATCTTTATATCCTCTTATACGTATTTCATCCTAAAACGAATCGACGGATCGGCTATTTACAAACGCTCTGAACGTGAAAACAATATTTCCTGTCGTATAGTGTATTTTTATGTATGAGAGAGTAATAAACAATAAATTATGTATGCAAATCTGTAAACTGTTGATACGGGTGACTCAATGAAAAACAGATATTTGTCAACAAGTTTAGAGAAGTATATAGGAAAACAATTTTAAATTGAGTATGACCACCAGGTATAAAGGTTGGAGCAGAATAGAATACAATAGTTGTGAGGGTTACTAATCCCTAA